ACATTAATCTTTAGTATTCATAATTTTTTATTTTTGGGGTCTTTTTGAGATAGTTTTACTTTGCAGTTCAGGCTGATCTTAAATTCACTTTGTAGCCTAGACAGGTCTCAAACTTCAGCAATCCTCCTTCCTCAGCCTGCCGAGTGCTGGGATGACAAATGTGTATCACCATGTGCAGCAGTATTCATAACTTCTAAAATGTTTTAACATTTCTTTTTTTTTTTTTTTCTGAAGAGAAATTATTTGTTTATATAGTAAGGGTGACAGTGAAAATACTTCAAAAAGTCCCAGTATAGTGAATCTGTTGAAACAAGATATTTTATGTACATTGGGTCTTATTAAATGCCAAATATAATTGTCAAAACCACTTATATAGGGGCTGGTGAGATGGCTCAGTGGTCTAAAGCACCTACTTAGATACAAGCTTAGCAAAGCACAGGGACTGTGTTTCCATCCCCCAGGACCACATGCCAGCTAGCCCTGCCCCCTGGTGAGCTGGCCACACACACACACACACACACACGCACGCACGCACACGCACACACACACAAATAAATATATAAATAAAATTTAAAAAAAAAAAATTGAAGGAAGGGGCTTAGGGAGATAACTCAGCCACATCAGCACTTGCCTGACAAGTACAAGATCCTGAGTTCAATCCCCCAGCACCACATGCCAGCCAGCCCCGCCCCCTGGTGGGCTGAGCTGGCCACACACACACACACAATTTAAAACAAAAAAACCCTACTTATATAATAAGCTTTAGTTGAGAATATCAGTTTCTGCTGTGGGTTTCAATTCTTTCCCAACCAATCATACTGAAAATGACACTTCACTAGATTCTTTTAATATAGACAAATTCTTAGTAATCTAATAGTCATGAAATCTTTGAGGCTATTCTTGGTGTGCAATTTTCAGCCAGAATAACCTCATAGGGCTTTTTTGGTTTATTTGTTGTTGCTTGACTAGAGAGACAGATGATTCTGGTTTTCAGCTGAATGTTAAAGTTCCAGTAGTTTGGTTTGGCACTAAAAGAACTCACATGAGTATAGTAACTTGAGCACTAATATTATGAACAAATATGTGATTTTTCCAAATGTTCAAAATGGGCCAATAATTTATTTTCTCTTAAGTGCCAAAATTTTTGCAGCATATAAATAATTTTCAATGTACTGTGTTCTTAGTGAACTGTGTTCACTAAAACAAATTAGCTCTGATGGATCTCAGTTGTATTTTTGATTTTTTTCCTACCATACTTAGTATCAGTGGAAGTGTCTCTTTTGATAAACACTGGTGGCCCAAGGAACTTTGTGTTTGCATACTGTAATATATAATAACAAGGAAGTCAAGTCAAATTTATCTGTAAATCTTCTAATATTGCTGTCAAGAAAACCTGCTGGTTCCCCATATTGAACTTTGTCTTTTACCTTTTTGTGTTTGGGTGAGGACTCTTTGAAATGGCTCCTTGCTTGGTAGGAAAGAAAACAGTAGTATCTGTTACACCATTCAGTTTCCACATGCTTTAGTGTACTTGGGCCAGTGAATTGCTGGGGCCTTCGATGCCTGTCTGTGTCCCTCATTTTTTTTTTTTTTTGGTCTTCTTTCAGCATGAAGGGACATTCAAGGGCTGCTAAATAATTCATTCTTCACTTAACCATCAGTTTTGCCCCGAAGGGTAAGGTTGGTACTACTGAGGACATTTTGGTGTAAGGACATTTGAGGTGTGAGAAGGCAGAATCTAGGGGCTTGGTGAATGGAGGGCATTCATATTTGAATTCAGCACCCTAAGCACTTTTTATATTTCTCAAAGGATATCTTAAGGAATAGTTTATTTTGCTGTCACTTTGGTTTTGTAAGCCTTACCACTATGCTAAGTGGAATTTGATTATTTAGGGTTTTTTTTTCCCCTCCCACGGTAGTTAATCATCCTGTCATTTTACCTAGAAATTAATTATAGATCACAAACTGCAGAATTTCCATATAAAGACTAGAATGTAGATTTTAAATTAGTTGTACAAAGAATATTTTCTCAAGGAGAAAGGCCTGCCTTTCTTTAGGATCCTGGTTCTGAAGAACAAGTAGGAAGATGGACAATATCATTAGATAAATTAGTCCAGAAAGTTACAGGTAGGCCTTTTCAGTGACAGATTTCTGAGACAGGCCTCAGATTGGATAGCTCATGATTTTTTTCTTTTGTATACAGATCTTGAAATAATAAATACCTTTCGAAATTCTCCAATCTCTCATCTATAGGAATGTTGTTTAAGAAGACTTGATTTATTTGCAATTTTTGGTTTTAAATCATATGAAATGATCATGAAAATGAGAATACTTTTTTTTTTTTGGTATTTTTAGAGAAGGGTCTACATCCTGTTCAGGGTCTCACTATTAGATTTGACTTGTTTACAGCCACCTGTTTACAGCCTCCCAAGAGCTGGGATTATAAACACATGCCACCATGCCCAGTCTCAATCGCTGGTCTCAGGCACCCCAGGGACGGGGCCAGCACGGCAGGCCCTGGGATCAACCCTCTGGCTCTTAGGTGCTTTAATCCGCTGAGCTATTTGGCCGGCCCAAGAATACTTTTTTAAAAAAGGCTTTGTACTTAACACAGTTTTTCCTAAGCTTTGTTGTATTTTTATATTAAAACTTGTTTAGAAGCTAGGAATGGTGGTACATACCTGTAATCTCAGCATTCAGGTGGTTGAGGCAGGATAATTGTCCCAAGTTTGAGGCCAGCTCAGGCCTAGTGAGGTCAAGGCCAGGCTGAACCACATAGCAAGTCCCTGACACACCCCTCCAGTTAAAACTCCTTTTAGTTTCCTGAGGTAGTTTTTTTTTTTCCCCTTCTCTTTTGGTCTTTTTGAGACAGGGCCTCGCTATGCAGTTCACTTGCTATGCAGTTCAGGCTTGCTTTGAGCTGACTTTGTAGCCCAGGCTGTTCTTGAACTCAGAACAATCCTCCTGCCTAGCCTCCTGAGTGCATGTGCCACCACAGCCTGGTTTCCTGAATTGAACTTTATGGACAGATCTTACGTTCTGTCCATAAAGTTAAACATTGAAGTAATATATATTGATTTTTCTACTTTGCAGTATCATGACATAATTTCAGAATTAAAATATCTAGAAATGAAAACATTTATATCTATATAAAGCAAATGTAGCAGGTGGCTTAGTTTTTACTGTTTAGTCCATCCCTGCAAACAGCTTTGGGATATCTAAATTATTTTCACAAAACTTAATTTTCATAATTGGTTCCACATTTAGCTGATGACTAAGAGTTTAGCTATAGCAGCTAAAGAAGTTAGCTATTTATATCTGTGGAATCCTATGATCTAGTAGGACAAAAGAACTGGGAAAATGGAGCCAACAGCCAACTAGAAAATATACAAGACAGGTACTTTAGATGCAGTGAGATAAGCACAGTTATGAGCATCAGACAGCCTTTTCCATTTTATGTTGAGCTTAAGCAATTGCTTGAAGGTTTCCATTTTAATTCCCCCCCAAAATGTAGAAAACTTGGAAATCCAGGAAATAAATGATTGCACTAGGAAGAAAGTGGACTCTGCTAGGAAGGAATTGGTGTACTGTAGTCCAAAAAGAAGGCACACAAAAACTTACACTTGTTTGAGGATGATAAAATTCAGTTGTGACTCCTATCACAGAAGCTCAGGCTCAGATGCTTTTATTTGGGGGCAGCATTAACATGCTACATTACTGAGAGAACATCTAAAGGGAAGGACTGCCTGTGTGGCATGGCACAGAACGTGTGCTATATATACCAGGAGAAATCAACCTGAAGTCATCAAGGTCTGCCTCGAACAGCCAAACTGCGGGACACCAGAAATAATGCACATGTATATTTGAGTTGTGGGAAACAAAAAACAAAATAGTTATTTTTGTTGACTGAGAGGTGCTTATCATAGGCAGCTGTGGGGCCAAATCACAGGCTTTGAAAAGCCACTGGAAGAGACATTATTTCCTATGGAAGAGGCCATATTTAGCACTTAGGTGATGTAAAACGTTTTTGAGGAAGGTTTAAAGGAATTAGCCATTGGCTGCTTGTACTGATGATGAAAAGTAAGTTTTAAGTTTTCAGAAAGATGGTGACTGGGCCTTTAGAAGATGTAAAAACCAAGAACATGTTTGAGAGGTAAAATTTTAGACCATAGTTACCTTTAAAATTGTTTTTACACTGCCTTAGATGTGAATTCCTTAAGTCATATAATCACAGGTAAAATAGCTATTAATAGTCCCAGGCCAGGTGTAGCTCAGTGGGAGAGTGCTTATGTAGTGGGTGCAAGGCCCTGGGTTCAGTCTACAAGAAACATCACACTCTGTCTCTCTCTCCATTTAATATACTTTGTAGAAACTGATTCTCTTCTAATATGTTCTATATAGCCTTAGGCAAGCCTGTTTTCTCAAATTCTCATATTCTGAAAAATAGAGCTGGCATGATGAAATCTAAATAATACAGTAGCAGCTCAGTCAATAACTTACAGTTTTATGGTAAAATATTTTTAAAAGGCTTAATAACATACAAGGGCCAGCCAAATAGTTTAGTGGATTAAAGCACCTGCAAGCAGGCACAGGGGCCAGGGGTTTGATCCCTGGGCCTGCTGTGCTGACCCTGCCCCTAGGGCACGCTGAGACAGCAATTGAGACTGGGTGTGGTAGTGCCCGCCTGTAATCCCAGTTCTTGGGAGGCTGTAAATAGGTGGATCACTATGAGTCTGATCTAGTAGTGCGTCCCTGAATACCCTGTAGGCCCTTCCCTAAAATTAAAAAAGAATAAAATAGAATTTATTAAAGGAATGCATTTGTATTCACAAGGGTCAACTTTTCCCAAGTATTTCAACACCATAGCAATACTAAGTTCTGTTTAATTTCTTCATGTATAAATGATGTGCTGAAAGATGCATGCCTTATCAATTTTTATTTTATTGGATATGGCTATAAGTGACATTCTTCTATATAAAAACTCACCGCACAATATCACATAGAGTACAAACATCGTAAATTTATTCATACCCTTGATTTTGCTTAAACTGCCATTGAGAAATTTAAATAATTGCTCAATTCTAAAAAACAAAATGCTAGAATTTCTCAGGAAAAAGACAATTTCTTTGTTTTCTAGAACTTTCCACTTGTCAATGTTGATATATTCCCCCACCCAATTAACCATCTACTTCAGTTTCAATCTAAAAATAAACTACACTCTAGAGTGTTTTTCAAGTGTTTAAAAAAATTTGCTCTTTAAGGTAAAAAGCAAGAGTACAAATAGGAACATCATGTAAGGATAGATGATACCACACTACACATTCCTCTTAGAATAACTTCTAGGATGTATACATTCTGGCTTTAAGATATAATGGGAACAAGTTACCTTTTAAATGCTTACAAATTTAAAAGAGAAGATACAAGCTAGATGTCAGATATCAATTTGTGCAAAATTGCTCTGCTCTGGAAATACATAAGCCTGGCAGTAAATGATTGTACATTAAAACTTTGTGGAGTGAATACTAGGGATCAAAGTCAGGGTCTTCCCACTGAACTACATCCCCAGCTCTTTTTATTTATTTTGGGACAGGGCCTCACTAAGTTGCCTAGGTGAGACTCAAACTTGGGATCTTCCTGCCTCAGCCTCCCACAGTATTGAGATTCTAGCAATGTGCTCACGGCTGGCTGTTAAGACATTTTATAGCATTAAAAAGTATTACAAAAAATCTGACTGACTCCATTAGCATGAAGGATCTGCTGATACTTAAATATGGTACCAGTTTTATAAAAGCAGTGTGCAGAAATCCACTTGATATTCTGCTGTAGAATTTGCATTTTTCTTTTTATTAACAAAGAATAATATTGAAATCTGATGATTACATAAATAAGCTTCTTGTTCTGGACCATGAAGCGGTGCTGACCAGCTGTAACAGTATTAACTGTCCTTACTCTGCCCTCAGTTCAGTTGCTGTTAAAATTTTTGCCCCACCATATTCCCTGCTTCCCATCTCACTATCTTAGGACTGTTCCTAACCCAAAATTTGTTTTTTATTTTCTCCAAAGATCCATGATATCAGAAGCACTGGAAAGAACCCACATTCCTGTCCCCTGAGGTGTCACTGGTCTGCTGAGAAGGCTTACAATTTATATACACCTACCGTAGGTGGCATTTTATTGAAAGGGTAAGCTCACTTGAAAGGGTAAATCCACTGTCAAACAGGTTTTGGAGGAGAAAATAACAGAAGAACACTGGAGGTGAAAAGAAAACGGCTACAGAATGAGGCGAAGCCAGCCTCAAGTGGCCCAGTCCTGCAAGGGGCCAGTGTTGGCTTCTCCAAAGAGAAGGACAAGTGCCACTATCCCAAGGCAAATTTTGACACGCTGCTTCTTTAAATCTCAGCTAACTACCAGGGATAGTGGTAGTTATCAGAACCAGATTGGTAGATGTCTTTAATCACATGAATTCCTCCATGAATTTCAAGGTATTATACATACTTTCTAAGGAAAGTCTTTCTACAACAAAGACAAAGGTTTGCAATTTGAAGATTTTAACTTCTAGCCCCGTTAAAAATAAAAGGTTATAAATTCCACAACTTAATATAAGAATAAATTATAAGCAAAACATGTCCTTGCCACAAGCTGTTTAAGTTATATTTACTACAGATACATCCCATTTATGAGGTAGTCAGATTCCTCAGATGTAATGGGACGGGCTTTCTTAAGTTTCTGTTTCACCAGTCGCAGTCGGCAGGCAACCATGAGAAGGAGCAAAGCAGTGATGGCCAAACCCAAAGCCAAGGGCAGCACGGCACCTGTGAAAGGTTAGACATAAGCAGGGTAGGTCAGTGACAGCTAGTGTTTGCTACATAATAAGCACTTTGTGTGTACTTTTTTTTTTTTTTTTTTTTGGTCTTTTTGAGACAGGGGTCTCACTTACACAGCTTAGGCTGGTGTTGAGCTCCCTTTATAGCCCAGGTTGGTCTTGAACTCAAAATCCTCCTGTCTCAGCCTGTCAAGTGCTGGGATTACAGGTGTGTGCCACCATGCCTGGCTTCACTTTGTATACACTCTTTTAACCTGTACAATTCAACATGGTACTATCATTGCCACTATTTCAGATTAAGGTGGAAAAAGGTTAAGTAATTGACCTAAAATTATTCCTTGTATGTCGTAGGTTTAGCTTTCCAACCCGGAGCTCTTCAAAGCTAAATTCTGAGGGCTGTCAGCAGATTAAATAGCTCAGCAGATTAAAGCACCTGCAACCAGGTGTAGGGGCTGGGAGTTCAATCCCTGGACCTGTGGTGCTGGCCCCGCCCCCTGGGTGCACTGAGAGGGCATTTGAGACTGGGCGTGGTGGCGCACACCTGTAATCCGAGCTCTTGGGAGGCTGTAAACAGGAGGATCACTACAAGTCCAATCTATTAGTAGTGAGACCCTGAACATCCTGTAGACCCTTCCCTAAAGCACACACACACACACACACACACACACACACACACAAGGGGTTAGACTAAGTTAATTGAATAAACTTTCATTAAAAAAAACCCCAAGAATTCTGTACCAGGTTTCCAAAAAATTTGTTTGGTATCAGTGGTTACAAATGTTACAATGAACAACATAATTACCCTTGTGTTCAACTGTACCAATCTGACCATTGGAAATTTTTTCACTGTAGTCATAGATTATATTTATAGATTCATAAGTGATCATTATCTGTCAAGTATGAACTCCTGAGTTCAGGGATCTGGTTAGAGCAGAAGAAATTTGTCTTTTCTAAATCCAGGGACACTAATTTCATACAGTAGAATCTGTTGAAAACTAAATATGTGGGTATAACTCTGGCTATGTAACTTTGATAAAGAAAACATTTCTTAGGGCTGGGGAGATAGCTCAGTAAAATAAGTGCTTGCCTGGCAAGCCCAAGGGCCTGAGTTCAATCCCTGGTTCTACAAAAAATAAAAATAAATAAATAAATTCTTTTTTTCTCTGTGGGGTTGGTGCTAAACATGCCGCTAGAAGCACACTTTAGAGGCTCCCGGAGTCTGTAAGAGGCACCAAGATGCCCTAGATCAGTCTCCTGATCAAGCTCAGCACGTTCTATTTTTAGTCTGATCTACTCTGTAGTGAGGCCAGGTCTGGAGATGACCTGGTAGGTCTATTTTTAGCGGCATGGCTTACCAGCTGGTGGAACTGGAGGTGCAAACATCCCACTGTGTAAACTGACTCGGTAACATTTCCTTTTGTTCATTTATTCATTTGTTTTGCATTAAGTAACAGTCACTTATGTGTCAGACATTGAGTGTAGGAGCAGCAATCAAAGATAGTAAAAACATTTTTTGTGAAATACATAAATAAGACCCCCAAAAGGAAAAGCTGATACAAATAGTGCCAGGTCTAAATCACAGGAGGAGGAGGGAGATGGCTCAGTAGAATAAGCACAACAAGGGTCTGAGTTCAATCCCTGGTTCCGAAAAAAAAAAAAAAAAAGTCACTGAACTCTCACAACAACCACAAATTAGTATACTATAGTACTCATTTTGCAAATAAGGGAATGAAGGCAGCAGAATCAAGTGACTTGCCTAATACTATAGTATGAATTGTGGGTGAGGACCACCCCAGGCAGGGCAACTCCAGAGCTTGTGCTCTTAGCCACTATAGTGTGCTTTGCCAACAGGGAAAGGAGACTTTCTGAATGACTTAGAATCCAGCAGTTAGGCATTTAACACATTCACAACAGAGCAGTAATGCATATGTCTTGCTGCCAGGTGGTTAACCACTGGCGGTATATGCATGATGTCCCATTAGACAGCTCTTTACTGATTTTATTAGTAAAAAGACTAAGAAAAGTTATTAGATCTCTATTACCAATGGTGCAAGCTGCCTGATGGGAGAGTCATACATCTACCACTGGTGGTTCAAGCCAGCAAAAATGTGTTAAATGAAACATAATGCAATGAAATATTAGTTACTATGACAGAATTACATATGGGGTACAGATGTGAAAAGGAGTGGTCCATTTGTCTGGTTGGTAAGATTTTTTTCTGGAGTGGCTTAATTTTATGATGGACCTTGTTTTGGGTGGGTAAGGAGGTCGTTTTTTAAAAATCATTTTCACAATAATATGCTTACAAACAATCCAGATGGATTTTTCACCTAGGCTCTTGGGAGACTTTAGCATAAAGGGGCTATCTACAGCCATGAAAGTAAGTGAAGTTGCCAGAGAAAGGAAGAAAGGGGAGCCAGAAGCAAGGTCTTGGGAACACTATGGTACAGACAAAAGAGAGAATTGGAAGACAGGTCAGAGCAATACTAGAACAACTGAAGAAGGGTAGGGTAGTAGAAGCCAAGGGAAAAGACAAGCCCACAAAGAAAGGGCTCTGCAGCATCAGATGCTAACAGAGGTCACACAGAAGGAAGTGTGGAGAGCTCGCGAGATTTAGCAAATAGCAACTTATTTACAGAACACTGAAGACTAGGACTATTTCTTTTTTTTTTAACACTGAGAGCTGAATTTGACTGCAGCCATCAGAGGAGTGAGCCAGTGGAAAAGCAGATTAAAACCTGTACAGAATTAATAGATGACGGAGAAATGTTCCTGAGGGAATAAGAGATTATGTGAAGACTGGGAAGGAATGGCCTCAGAAAAGGACATCTGCGCCTGCAGTGCTAGAGGAAAGGAAGCAAGGGTGTGTGCTAGCAGGCACATCTGTGTGTGGATGTGTAGCTAAGGAAGTTCACTCAGGAATGCCTTGATTTCCTGGTCCTAAAACTGGCCTCAAGGGACCGGGGAGATAGCTCAGTAAAATAAGTGCTTGCCTGGCAAGCGCAAGGGCCTGAGTTCAATCCCTGGTTCTACCAAAAAAATAAATAAATAAAATAAAACTGGCCTCAGGAGTCTGAGAGAAGCCTCTTGAAGACATGAGGACTTGGATTTGGTTATATACACACGTGTAAGACAGTTGTAGAAACCCAGGTAAATCCGAACAAGAGCTTGAGAACAGTCCTGTGTCTGAGTGCAGAGGTGGGGAGGTAGAAGTTGCTTTAGTGACTGTTAGGTATCACTACTGGAATGAAGCTAGTGTTCCCCTAGAGAATTATGAAAGCTAAGAATCTGTGATAAACTCACGCCTAAAAAAATTTTGTGGAGTTGTTTTGAGACAGGATTAAACTCACTATGTAACCCCAGCTAGCCTTGAACTTGTGACGCTCCTGCCTTTGCCTCCTAAATTCTGGGATTATGGCGTGTAACACCATGCCTAGTTAATGCCTAGAATTTTTATCCTGTATTTTGGGTTTTTTTAATCTAGAATTTTTCTTTTAGAGTTTTCTCATATATTCCACACACATCACCTCTCTAGAGGTGACAAGAATCACTGCTTTCATACTTGCTTCAGTAGCACATATACTAAAATTGGAATGATACAGAAAAGATTAGTATGGCCCCCGCCAAAGGATGACGTATAGTCATGGAACATTCCATACTTTCTTTTCTGTATGCTATTGTCTGGGTTATCTTTGTGTCATTAACAATACTTTGGTCCCATTCCTAGATAACTGGATGCTAGGCCAATTATACTACATCTTCCCTTCTCAGATTAACAGAGAGCACTAAATCTCGAGAGCACTGAACACCCAGAGTGTATCACTGAAAAGCACATGCAAATAATTAAATAGGTCTCTATACCAGCAGCAAAGTCTTTCCACTATAATTGATCCACAAACCTCATCATGCACACACACACATGAACACACACATGAACACACACAACAAAGCACTTGGGAAGACAATAAAATGATTCAAAAACTTACAACACTCCCAAAGCAAATGCATGGCATATGAATGAGAAGGGAATCAAAAGCTTACAGCTGAATTATTGGATGTGATAAAAGAGGAGATAATAAACATCACTAAAGTGCTTGGTAAGCTCTAAGAAGATATAACTAAACACATAATGGACTTAACAAAACAGTTTATGGAAGACACTAATAAACAGCTAGCTGAGCTAAACGAAATGATATAAATCATGAACGGTCAGTTTAGCAAAGATTAGAGTTTATGAAAAGGTAGTAAACAGAAATCCAGGAGATTACAAATTCTACTTAAGTATGGGCAACTGAAGTGATACGTTGGAGGACAAGTGTCAGAAGTAGAAGACAGGCCTGATGCAGTGACTATATACTGAAATATACCCGAAAACCAACTAAACATAAAAAAATGGATCCAATAACTGCTAGATGGCACAAAAAAGACTAAGTTTAATTAGAGTAAGTGAAAAATGAGAAGACAGCATGAGGGACATAAAAAACCTGTTTACAGAAATAGTAGCAGAAAACTTTCCAAATATGGGGAAAGAATTAAACATACAGAAAAGTGAGGCATATAGAACCCCAAATAATCTTCCTACTGAGAGAAAAGCACATCAAAACAACAGTGAGATTCCATCTGACTCCAGAAAGAATCACTATTATCAATAAAGCTATTAAGAACAAAAGGTCAGAGAAACTGCAAGGAAAATGGAACCCTTCTACACTCTTGGTGACAATGTACACTTGTACAAATCCTATGAAATCAGTATGGATATTCTCAGAAAGCTAAAAATATAGTGAAACTCTGTGTCAAAAAATATTCACCCCCCATGTAAAAAACTAAAACTAGAAATTCCAATTAATCCAGCTACTCCTCTTCTAGGTATCTTTCTGAGTTAAAGACATCATATTACAGTGGTACCTGCCTACAGTGGTACTTATACCAGCATGGTTCATAACACTAACTCTTAGAAGCAGATAACTGGAGTCCTTCAACTTCAGTGCTTGGAAAGACATTTTGGGGCTGCATTAGGAAGAATCATTGAAAAGCTCATATGACCGCAGTGTGCAAGAAAGGGAGAGATCTCAATAACTGAGCAAGTACTTCCTCTTGATACTGATGTACCAGTCTATAGTGATCATTTGGAAAGTCCTGAATGTTCTATAAAAGAGTTCATTACCCATATGGGCTTAATTATAGAGCAGGAGGGAGTGATCCCATGTAAGACATCATGGTCTTCCATTTGAAGGAAACATGTAAGTAGGGTTGGCCACAATAAAATTGCTGAGGTAAATATAAAACAAGAGAAATTCTCATAGAATGCAAAGGAAAAGGCTAAAGAAATTAAGAAAGAAGAGAAAAAGATGTAAAGGACCTGTCTAAGAGATACAAATTAAGGTAATAAAAATACCTGAAACAGAGGACAAGGCAAAATGAAGCTGAAACAATAAAGGAACTAATTGAAAAAAGCTTTCCAGAGTTGAAGAATGAAGTAGCCCCGCAAATGAGAAGGTTCATGGGGTATCTTTGAATTTTAACAAGAAAAAAAGCAACACCTAGATATATCCTTGGGACTTTTTAAATTTCAAGGATTTGCACAGAGAAAGCAGGTTACCTATAAAGGGGCAAAAGTCAGACTGATCTCAGATTTTTCTCTTGTAATTCTAAATGCCAGATGACAATGGAACATCTACAGTTTTAAGAGAAAATAATTTTGAACCAAAAATTATATTCTCTGCCAAGTTTAATGTTTGTGTATGAAGGCAACTGGAAAACACTCTCAGATACTAGGAGTTAAGAAAATATGTAGATGGGGCTGGTGAGATGGCTCAGTGGTCTAAAGCACCTACTTAAAACAAGCTTAGCAAAGCACAGGGACCACGGTTCAATCCCCCAGCACCACATGCCAGCC